CGAGCCGAGGCATATGCGTTCGGCTCGACTGAGCCGCTCGGCCACGTTCGAGAGCTGTACGGGCTATAGTGAATAGCCCGTACAGCAGCCCTTTGGTTCTACTGAACTGAAGGGGTCCTGGGGCCGAAGCTAGCCGAAGGATCGACCGAAGCTACAGCTAGATCCTTCGGATTCTTCATGAAAAGTCCCCTTAGTTTCTTCTCATTAACATACAATTCTTCTAGTTCTTTAAATCGTTGTAAGCCCAGAGAGTGTTCAAATCTATTTTACAACTGATAATGAGATCTGCCTGCACAGTGCAGACAGGGTTAATAAAGCTGGCCATACACTGCTTAGATTTTTGGCAATCCATTGCAAAGTTAACCTAGATTTTTGATTAGTTTGGGCTACTGCGTAATACAAATGTACTATTATTGCACAGATAAAGTACTGTATGCATTTGTTAAATATCTTTGATATATTAGTTTACATTAGTTGTGCGCAGTGGGATTTGATGAAACCTTTCTTCCATTATTTGCATCATGCTGTATTTGTTTTTATGTATGCATGCTGTGTCTCCTATTTAAAGTCCCACTCCAGCACAAACATTTTCATTACATTTTGGAGAGAGTGGGAAAGAGTTAAAGCCACCATCAGGGTTTTATTGCCATCTGTGTCCATAAAGGGGAGATTTTTTTTCCGTCACTTCTTGTTAGGACATAGACAAAAACAGAATGACACTGTAGTCATGAGAAAGAATTAGACGTTCTAATTAGGTTTTTGTTGCTGCCCATGTCTTCCAGCCCCGGAGATGACCCCTACCCCCTTTCTTATATGGGTATCATAGGGACAGAAAATTAGGGAAAATCTCCCAAATGGGGGTCACAAACAGAAAGAAAACCCTAGCAGAAATGTTACATTTCCCCACGTTATCCTAACCCTAAAATCTAAAAATCAAGTAAAATGTTTCATCTGAAGTTACACACGGTCTGTAAAATTATGCACTTTTCAGCCAGATTATCCTGTTTTTCACACTGCATCTAAAGATTGCGCTGGCTGGCATGCAAATAGCTGTTGAAGGTGCACCTACAAATGTGTATATGAAGTATCATCATAACAATCTAATAGAGCAAATATGTGAAAAAAATGAATATCATGTCAGTTTGATTTCTTCCTGAAACTACACTATAGTGCTTGCTTTAAACATAAATGTAAAGCTTATTCACAAAATTCATTATATTACATATCAGTGTACTTATTTAGCAAGAGTAATCTAATTTGCTAACAATGACTCAACAGTAACACATTTGTAGGCATAATATATACATTTTCACTGTTCTGCCATTTCAGCTGCGTTCATAACCAGGAAAAACATGAAAATGTCATCTGAAATTCTGTGATAATGAAATCTTCAGTTCTCCCAGTGGTAGATGTTTTTCTTCACAGCTCTTGACTCTATATAATTTATGTGAATATACTGTTCATATCTTAATCATGAGGTTGAGATGACTTAGAAAGCACAGTGTGCTTTGCTGATGGAAAAACTGAACTTTAAGACTTCAGCATGTCGTGTAAATAATCATAAGAAATATTCATTAAAAGTCTTGTGTGTATATTCTTCTACCCTGATGGGCAGAACTCACCTTTTGTGTTTATTCCTGCAGAGAAAATGAGTGATTTACTATCTCAGCTAAAAACACCAGCTGCATTACTAGCTGCTCAAGGAAAACCAGGTCCAACAGGAAAGGACGGGCTGCCAGGACCACCTGGAGATCCAGGGCCACCTGGCCCTCAAGGTAAAGCATAGATAACAATAACAGTTTAAGGTCAACTGTAAACTCATTTTGGCACCTGTATGTTTAGTAAATACACCAATATGGGCACACCTGTATGGAGGATTTTCAGTTAAATGTAGTAATACGGAGAGGTCTGGCTTCCTGTAACCCATAGCATGACCAGCCATGTACTGCTTTTTATAGAGTTTAGAAAACTAAAATAAGATATAATGGTCTTTCTTGAAGTAATTTCAAAATGTATTGTCAGTCCAAAATAGTAGATTTCACCAGCAGGTAGCTAAAATGAGAAAGAACTAGGTAGTGACGAGAGGAATGATTTGGCTTGGGACCAAGATGGCTTTGTGTTGAAGGAGCTCAGTGCCACAAAGGAAGTACGTGTTCATACTCCATGTCAGAGAGGCAAGAGACAGCAGCATACTTTTAAGCAAGAATATACTCAAAATCTTTAAATCACAGAAAGCTGACTTGACTATGGAGGCACATTACAACATGGCAGTTCCTCCAACCAACATTGTAGAAGAGACATCCACTCCTGCACTAAGTGAATTATTTATTTGAGCCTACATCAAACAGCTTCTTACAGTGGCAGATCTTGGAAGAAATAGAGTTTTTTCTACCTGTTCTGGCACTCATACTTTGAATCTTCACTCTGCTGCTGAGCTACCTAAATAAAATGTTATATCCAACACACTTCTGGGCACTCTGTGGTTCCTCCAGCCAGCCCCTATATCACTACAGGACACAGTAATGAAGTAGGGGCTGGAGAGAACCACAGAATGCAGCTGGGTATTCAGGTATCCAGCACACATGGGAAGTGTGTTGGATGTAAGGATTCTTTGGATGATGAAGTGAAAATTCCTAGAAAAAAACTGGGACAGGCAAGTATAATCTTTTTTCCTTTATTTTTAGCTTTACACTTTTATATCAGTGAATGCTGCTAAACATTGTACAAGCATTGAAGGCTAAGTTTACTGACCATGTTTCATGTTACAACCTTATTCAAGGTGCAGTCACTTTAACTACTATTGAGATAAAAGAGTGAATTACTGAAAGGAAATCAGCTGTTCGCTTTGCAAGGGAATATTCCCTTAGCTTAATAAATGTGGTGAAAAGTCACTTTGCTAAGAATACCCAATCACATATCAGAGATATTTTACAAAATTGATTTTTGCTTGCACATGATTGGATGATGAAAGTCAGTAGAACTTTACCTCATTAACTAAGCTAAGGGAAAATTCCGGTGCAAAGTGAACAGCTGATTTGCCTTTAGTATATCAGCTCCAACATATCTGCCATATAGAGAGTTTCAAATAAGTTGGTCAACTCTCACAACCTTTGCTTTGTTAGAAGAAGTAAACCACAACCATTGTATAGTGCTGCAGAACAGGATGCAGAGCCAGATTAAGTAATGAACAAATGTGTCTTTCTCTGGGCACATGCGATTTATAATTACAATGCATAATAGCAATGTTTTAAAAACCGTAGCACATATTGTAATGATTATTTAAATTATGTTGTTTTTTTTATATTTATTTAAAAAGCATTAAAGAAACTATACATTCCCTTTAACCCTTTCATGACTGAGCTAGTTTTCATTTTTTACATTTTTGCTGTGTGATTCTTCCACAGCAGTAATATACTTTCTTACTAAATGTACCCACACATATTATATATAGTTTTTTAGAGGACAGATAGGGCTATATAATTATATCACATATGTGTACCTAACCCCTCACTTAGTTTGAATAAAATAAAAAAATGAGGAAAAAAACTAGAAGAAAACACTTTTTTCACAAGTTTTGATTATTATTATTTTTTTTAGAATTGTTTTATATTAATTATAGTATAAAAATATATTTATAATTTATATTTTCCCAATTTTGTTTTACACTTTATTTTTATTTTTTTACACTTTGTAAAAAAAAATTACAAATTTTTTTTTTTAAGTAGTATCAACCTACCATATAACTAATTAATGTTCATGAGAAAATCACTAATTAATATTCACTGGAAATGTGACCATGGCCTTTGTTATTGTATATGCTTTCTGCAACTAAAATGGCCAGCGTGTGCAGTTTCCCTTTAAGTATGCTAATGCCCCACGCTATGTTAATCTGCTTTTAAAAAATTAACACTGCAAGCAAAATACATGCTAGCACTTAATTTTAATTAATGCCCAAATTTTCTGTGCATAAAGGGTGAAAAAATAATACGTATGTAGGATATTGAAATGCCGTAACAGGTGAGAACAACAGTTCAGAATTGGTGCTGAAGATGTACCCAGGCTTACTATGTCATTGCATTCTTCTCATGTTTATTGAAGTATACAGTTGGCCATAGGTCTACATATGCCAAGATTGCTCTGTTACCCACTGATAGATCATACTGGGATGTGCAGCTCCTACTTTTGGAGGTCTTCAGCTGCCCAATGTCAGTATATAATGTTTACTTGATTAAACTGTATCTAAAGCTTAACAGTGTGGCTTCCTAGTCCGTGGATGAGGTCCCTGCATTTGTTTTATTTTTTCAGGCTTCCCACCTTTTTTTACCTGGTAATCCTGTGAATAGAGCACTCTCTCCCTGAGTGGGTATGTTTGCTCCTTCGCTGTATCTAAGGAGGCAGCCATGGTTGCCACCCATGCTGGCCTTTAAACATATTTTCCTTTGTTCAACTCCATTACATGAAGGATGATGGGATTAGTATGTTACAGAACAAAGGTAACACTGTATTTAGTTTCTGTATGGCTCACTGGAAGTGAGCCATATTTCTGGCAAGATCAACAGATATTTTCTGTACTTGCTGAATATGTTCTTGACCTTAAAAGGGAAAATTAATGCAGCCACCACATTTAAGGACTGGTAAGCAATATATTAAATTATTGTTTTTGGATTTATTTATCCTTTCATTCTTATTTCAATGCATTGCAAAGTATTATCTTGTTGCATTTGTTCTTATTAATGAATCATATGCTTTGAGTCTGTCAGAATGTAGTAAATGAAAAATGAGAACCTCCTAGAAACCTGTACTCCATTTACTATGATTAATTACAGTTTTACTCTGTGGCTGAAAGCCAGAAAACAATACTTCCCCAAATGTACCTCTCTGGTTCCAGAGGGGTAACTACTTCTTGATACAATGATGAGTGAGAATGGAAGAAATCTTTTTTAAATAGAATACACTTTAAAAGGGAACTATAGCCCAAACTTTTTTGCCCATAGTTCTTTTTTAGGGTCACAGCGGTATGTGATCATTCAGTTATTGATCTAGAGAGCGGACATGTAACAGCTTTAGAGTCATAGTTTAGTATTAATTATGGGAATGAGTGTATTTCACTCTCCCCATAATTCTGTTTTAATTTCAAAACAGTTATTTGTGTGATCTTTTAATTTATCTCTTTGCGTGGCATGATGATTGGGTAAATTAGCGTCCATTAAACTCTTTAACCAGTTAAAGTGGAGTGGTTAGCGGTTCAAGCAGATAAATTGCACATATGCACATATCCACCTTTACCCAAACCTGCTGTCAGGTGTATTGGAGGTGCAATAGGGCTCAAGTGTCACCCTTATCAGAAGAAGCCCAGTGCTGACGGACATTGCCTAATGTTGTAGGATTAAAGGCATAGTATTCTCTCTACTCTATTTTTAACTATTAGAGATAATTCATGCTGTTGCGCTGTGGTAAAATGTGTGTTTATCACAACACACAAAACTAAGTGTGAAGCATTGTCCTGATTGTCCTCCCAATTCACCTAGCCAGCCTACAACATTGTGTGTTTTAGCACACTACAAAAGTAAACTAATCATTTGCACAAAGATTCCTTCCATCAATTCTTCTTTATTGACATTGTACAGGTTGTTTCACAATGTATGCCATACATTGTGAAACAACCTGTACAATGTCAATAAAGATAATCTGATGAAAGGAATCTTGGTGTGCCAGTTTCTTTTTATGGATTGATTGGCGGCACCATCCGCTTTCACTGCATTCCGGTCAGGAGTGCAATGGGACACAGACATAATTTAGCACACCTAAACTCACAGTTGTGAACCATCTGTATTTTATGGTTCCATGTGTTGAGAAAAATGCTGCAGGTTTGTTACAACTTGTGTTGCGCATTGGCAGCCATTTCAAAATGAACTGGCTGTCTTACATTAATGTCTTAAAGTCTTGTGTACTTAATGCCAATTTGTGGGCAGAGTCTGCAGATTTCACAATAATATTACAGACTATAGCTGTTCACTTGTGGCCTACTTAGTAAGCCATTCCATATTTTTCTCCTTCTTCTTTAAAGTTTTGTATAGAGCATAGAATGGTTTAAAAAAAACACCCATCAGTGAGTGTTTTTTGTTTGATTTTTCTGTTCTCTGTCTTGTTTGGGACATTGTGCTTTTTTCTCCTAAAAGACACAAAAAAGTTTGGATTTTACAGCAATTTACACAAAAAGAAAGGGTAAATGTCTCCCAAATAGGACATGAAACATATAGACCAACTAAAGCTCATTTTGGAGCTGATTTATGAAATTTGTGGCAAAGTCTGGAGAAATAGTGGAGCAGTAGAAAATTCCGTCAGGTTGAATTTTTTATTTTTTGGAAAAAATAAAGACAGTTTTATCATTGGTTGTAACCATCAAAACCTTCATTAGTATTATTTGCTCCAGTTAATCTTTAACCTTTTTTAGATAGATCATCTCTTAACTTAAGTTGCTAGACCAGGTTCTGTCACAAGGTTACATTGCACATTTCACATGTCACATTGCACTGCATGTATCCTTGTATAAGTTTGGTTTACACTATATTTGCATTTCATTGGTTTGATAAAAATAAGAATGCTAGTCTTTTAGAAAGCCTCTTGATAGGTGGTTCCTATCTATTATTTTCCCAGTAGTTTGGTCTTCTCTTGGATCAGAATAAGTCAAATTGGAATGAAGAAAAGAAGAACGTTCACTGTGAAGATGTATGAAGTCTAACTTTGGGAGAAAAAAGTCATAAAATCTATAGGA